AGGGAATAATCGGTTTTGGAATCCCAATCCTTTAGGTTTGGGAGGAAAAAACCGCCCTCGTTAATTAGACCCAACCTTTGAAAAAGATTTGACGTTCTGTCTAAAATGTAGTATAATAATAGTATCAGGTTGGCAGACATTTACAGCGTAACCGCATGGTTATGTGTCTTGCCTACCCACTGTAAGGGGTTAAAAACGTGATACCTGATATACCATGAGATTAACCTTTAAATATCCTGTTTATCCTACGAACAGACAGGAAAAAACATTATTAAAGTGGTTAGACACTTGTGCGAACTTCAGAACTCTGCGCGCCATGATAGGCTTGTTGCGTTAGAAACTGAAAATCGTTTTGTATCACTCTCTGACCAGCAAGACCTTCTAACGGCAGCGCGTGAAAAATATGACGATTTCCAAGAAGTGCCACAAGATTTTCAGAACCATGCCTTACGGAGAAACGACAAAGCCTTCGCGAACTTCCGTAGACGTTGTAAGGAGAATGCCTGTAAAAAAGGATACCCTCGCTATAAAAAGCGTGTGCGTTCTCTGACATGGAGTCTTCGCAAATATACCAAAGTTGTTCGTAAAAAGTCCGAAGATACTGATAAACAGACAATACGCATTCGCGAGCATCCCATCCGAGAAACAGCATGGAAGCATGATCGTTTGAAAGTGCCGAAGTTAGGTGAAGTCAAAATATACATGCACCGTCCGTTGCGAGGCGATCCGAAAGAAGTCACGCTTGTCAAGAAAGCAAGTGGTTGGTATGCTCATATCTCTTGCGAACTCCCCGCTACACCGAAAGTTGAGCCTACAGACGCTATCGCAGTAGATATGGGAACAACGCACTATCTGACGACTTCCGAAGGTGAAAAGGAAGACAACCCACGCTGGTATCGCAAAGCAGAAGGCTTACTCCGAAAGCACTCTAAAGACCTGTCGCGTAAGAAAAAAGGCAGCAATCGCAGGCAGAAACAACAACACAAACTCGCTTTACACCACGAGCGAACAACAAACAGACGTAAAGACTTTATCGGTAAACTCGTCTATAAACTCTACCACCATTACCAGAACAACGTCCTCGTAGCAGAGGATTTACGCGTATCTAACATGGTACAAAACAAACACCTCAGCAAGAGTATCAGTGACGCGTCTTGGGCAACCTTCTTCAAGTGGTGTGCGGATATAGCCGAAAGAGACGGTCTGCACTTCCACCAAGTAGACCCTAAAAACACTTCGCAAAACTGCTCCTGCTGCGGTCAGAAAGCACCGAAAAAGTTATCTTTATCGGTGAGAACCTATAACTGTGGGTATTGTGGACACTCTATGGATAGAGACCACAACGCTGCGATAAACATACTCTTAAGGGCAGCTGCTGCCCTTCGCGGAGAGCGGTGGGTTACCACCCTCTGTGAAACGAGAAACAAGAACGAAGCACGAGACGCAGGCTTGCAGAACGCAACACAGCTAACGTTGTTTGACGCTTTTACAAGCCCAAGTCTTTAGGCTTGGGTAGTTGACTAGATACTTCTCGGTTATATTGATCCTCGTTTAATGTTAGCGAAATCCTTCTCAATCGGGTTCAACTCAGGGGAATACGGCGGTAAAAATATCAACTTGCACCCGTCGCCGCAATCAAACTCGCCGTCTCCGAACCCTTGTGAAATGAAGCATTATCCATAATCACGACGTGTGTCTCATCAAGCAGGGGACATAACTCATGCACCATAAGCGTCAATTTTTAGAAAAACAACCGTCTCGGTACCTGGAAACGGTAGGCACTGGTTTGAAACGATGCTGTCGTAAGATAAAAATCTTGTGTCCCGTGAATGGCCTCTTTAGTCCCGTAGGGACGATATGTTATAGCAGCGGTGTTGAGAGAGAAAATCAGCCCTGTAAGGGCGGTATGCTTATATCTACAGTTGCTAAACGATATGTAAAAACCACTAAATTGACACTTATGGGGACCTAATATCGCATATTAACATTACGCGACTATTCTTGTGTATATTTTTAGATATGTTATTGTGAAGAGATGAAAAGCAAAAACATGAGGTTTTTCCACACCTTTTCAGTAGAAGTTGTTAAACAAAGGTATCTTGAATGTGAATGTCTTCGGGAACGGACCGCACTGGCATATTATTTGGCTCTTGCGGATACCAGAGATTCACGCACCCCCGGCAGTCCCGCGCTTGAGATTTTGTAGGATGCACGCCGGACTGTGGTTCGCAAGTTGCTCAACGCTATAATGCTGAGGGCGAAGCGCGCTTTACGAGATAAACGACAAATAATACAGGCGAGCGGTTTTTTGGATGAAACACTAGCAAGCCGCCCTTGCCAAGCTGCCCTTTCTGCGCCTCCTGGTGATGGGTCCTTTGACGACGGGTCCGAAAGGTGGCTGCGTGGATATCCAGAGACGCTCCAGCGTCGTGTCCAGTGACGTGTCAGGTTGGAAATATCTCAAGCGTCTGGGTTATACTTTACAAACCCCTCGTCCCACCATCAGGCAGCGCAACAACCCGAGCGCAGCAAACATTAAAAAAACTCAAAGAGCGGGTAGCTACGCTTGAAAGTCAGCACCCAGAGAAACCGGTAGAGATCTGGGCAGAAGACGAGACGCGCTTGGGATTATTGCCGGTTCATCGGCGTGTCTGGGCGAAGCGAGGTGAAAGACCGATAGCCCCCGTGTGTCCGGCATATAAGTGGCTTTATGGTTTCGGTTTTGTCCGTCCACAGACAGGTGAGACCTATTGGCTGCTGATGCCGAGTGTGAGTGTTGAAGTCATGAACCTTGCCTTGGCAGAGTTTGCGCGTGATGTGAACCCGGAAGGCAAGAAACAGATAATCCTTTTGTTAGATCGTGCCGGTTTTCACACAGGTAAGGATTTAGAAGTCCCAGAAGGGATTGAGTTATTTCATTTGCCCCCGTACACACCAGAACTTCAACCTGCCGAACGGCTCTGGCCTTTGTTGCGAGAGGTGGTTGTGAATAAAGTTTTTACAACGCTCTCAGCACTTGAAGAAGCCGTTGTGAAAAGGTGTCAATGGTTCTCTGAAAACACAAAGAAGGTGCAGGCACATGTCGGTTTTCAGTGGATTTGCAAAATGGAAAAATAATACAAATCACGTTAATTTGGTATAACTCATGCACCAACCAAGCATTGAAAGCAAGCGCATCAGAAGCAAACAGCTTCGCAGAAAAAAGAAGCAGGTTACAACTTTTTAGGCTTATCAACGTCTAAAAGAATAGAATGCAATACTAAGGGACGAAAATTTCCAAAGGGAGGAACACACAATGGGAAAGAAAAGTACAAAAACACCGAAGAAGTCAGCATCCCGCCGATTTAATCCGGTGAAAGCGAAGTTGGAATCCATAAACGAATGCTTTGAGCAATTACAGAACGGGCTGCCTGCAAGTCAAGAAGCGTACGTTGAGGCGGGCAGGATCACGCATTCCTACGTTAAAAGCTGCTTCCTCATGATTATCCAACGTGCAGTGGATATCAATAATGTTATCATCGAATTTAAGGGGCAAACACCACTGCAGCAAAAACACCACAGTTTTCTAACACTACATCAAAACAACGCGATTGATAAAAAGACGCTGGATTTTTTCATGAAAGCCCTAAGTTACTACGAAAATATCATTAATCCCTATCAAGAACTCACGCCTTCCGAATTGTACGATGTCTCCTGTGATCTATTGAAGTACGGTGAAGCATACACTCATCAACTCGAAAATTACTTTGTGAATTTCTCAGCCTCATAAAATAGGCGCGGTTACAAACCGCGCCTATTTTTCTAAATAACTGTCGCGGTTACAAACCGCATCTATACGCCTAATTAAATTCGACGATACCACCGGTCCCTTTTAACACAACATCCGGCTTAAGCAAAATCTGCTGTTCTTCTTCCAACTTTAATCCAGTTGGATGGAGGGTATAAGCAATCCTGAGTGGGAGATATTGCCCCAAATCGGCAAGTCTCTCTTCAGGAGTCTTAAAGATTTGTTGTCCGCTCATCTGGGTCTGATACGCGTACCAGTACTTCAGGTACGACCGAATGCGGTTATTAAAAATAACCTCCGCAGAGTTTGTATCAATGACTTTGACTCGAGTACGACCAAGGGCGGTAAGACGGGTACGAATATAGGTAGATGTACCGGAAATTCCGCCTTGTCTGCCTTGCTTCATCAGATGCTGGTCATAGTCGCGCCGGGTTAGACTCGGCTTTTCAACCATCCCGACGATAACCATATCCGCCTCAAGTGCCTGTCCGAGTTTCGCTGCCAAAGCAGGGTCTTCATAAACCTGCGCCAACGTTAACCCCAATTCTGTGAGTTTGTCGTCAACCGGTTTAACTTTGTTTGAAATGTCATAAATCCACTCTGCATTCTTGAATATGATCTCGAGGCGGGTTGCAAGATTCACGCTGATTCTTCCACCTAATTTGCTTACCTCTTCTGCCGCGCCTGCCTCAGCGTAGAGTGGAGTGATTATAATGCGCTTCGCTTCGCTTATCGGTGGTGGGGTGGTAATGTTAGGCTCGCCTAAACAACCTACCATTGCAATGCAAAGAAGCGGTATAAACAGAATTGTCAAGAAACGTATCACTGAAGTGTGCCTCCTATAATTTTGGGCATAACTTGAAAGCCAAATTTTTCCGGATCGAGAAACCGGAAATTTGTGCTAATTGTACATGCTCTAAAAAGTCTTCCCTCACTCCCGTGGGGAAACAAATAACTGGTCTTCGACCAAAAGGCTTAAGCTTCCCACGCGCCGGTTTGTAATCTCGTTTAACTGTAGGTGAGATATATGAAACACTCCACCGCATACTGGAAGCTGAATTACTAACAGCATACCACAAATTGCAGAAATAAGTCAAGCCTTATCCAATAGCCAATGCTCGAACTTCCCCAAATTCGTGTGCAAGTTTAGTCCATGAATCGCCAGTATCTGTGCTGCGATAGAGCTGTCCGCTCACACTACAAGCGATTAAGAAGTTGTTAACTTTCGGATTATGGGCAAATGTCCAGATTGTGCTGTTCGCAGTTCTGCCGATATCTGAGCGATCCCATGTTTCTCCTGCATCACGAGTTGAAAAGATACCACCTTGGTCGCCCGGCGGACCATTCCCAGCACCAATGAACACTCTGCCTGCATCGCCGTTGAGGAAAAACGCCGCACGGCAGTAGGGCCATGGGTAATGTGCCTTGACATTTAACGGTGTCCACTGTTTGCCCATATCCGTCGTGACACAAACATCGTTGTTCGTTGCTGCGATGATAGTTTTGGGTGAACCGGGGACTACACAAAGCCCGTGAATGTCCAAACTACTGAGTCCTTCGCTCCGCTCTGTCCACGTTTCACCACCATCAGTGCTGAGACGCATCCCATCAATTTCAATCCCAGCATAGAGTGTTTGCGAATCTTCGGGATCAATCACAAAGGTCGTGACGCGCGGGATAATCGGAATACCTTCACATTCTTGTGCCAAGTCAACGTTGAGTTGCTTCCAATTATCACCGCCATCAGTAGATTTGAAAAACGCAGAAGGACACGTACCGGCGTAAAGTGTGTCTGGTGTCCTTGAATCAACTGCTATTGACCACACTTCCCGTCCATCCATAGGGCTTGGAAGGTGGTGCCACGATTCAGCAGCATTATTTGTTCGGAAGATACCGTTCTCGGTACCTGCATAGAGCGTGTCTGAGTCACTCGGGTTGACGGCTATGGCACGAATATCGGCCTCCGGAAAGAGTCCGTTACTAACTCTGCGCCATGTGTCCCCGTTGTCGGTACTGTTCCAGACACTTTGTCCAATAGTTCCTGCATAGAGTGTAGCTTGCATCTTTTGCCCCTTTTTTGAAGAGAAGAAAACGAAATTTCTTTTTTATTTCCAATAAAAACCGAGCTGCAGATCAATTTCAAACAGGTTATCAAGCAACAAAATAGCAAATCTGTTACTTACCGCAGCTTGATGCTAACCCGCCGTGCACATACTATGTTACTCGGTTAACGATCCTGTGTCAACAATTCGAGAATCAAGTGAAATCTGATATATAACAGATTCCGGTGCTATCTCCGGTTCAAGAAGAAATGAGAGTCGGTATAGGCGACTACCCTGCGTATCCTGTGTTATTTGGTACATTGCTTGTGTTTCCCTATAGAGACGTTCAACTTTATTGTCAAAGCGCATCAATGTCACAGTAGGGGTTGACCCAACGAGAGATTCACTCGGCTGAGCGATGATGTCCCAGTATCGAGGATGCACAGGATTCGGAAGGGCAGTCGTAATAAAAGTGATATGTGCACCACGCGTTGCACTATATTGATAATTAGCACTACGTGTGCCCGTGTTGATCGTCTCTGCTTGTAAACTCGGCACTAAGAGTACTTCTGTAACAGTATTCGACAATACAACGGAACCAGAGTTACCAGTGGACAACTTTATCTCCCGCACATGGACATCACCAGTGCTATGAAATTCAATCGCATGAGCAGCACTGCTGGTCCCCCCGGAATTACTCGAAAAACCCAGTGTCAATCCGCCAGCATCCTCAAATCCGATGTAATCAGCCGAGAAGTTACTGAGTTTTCCCTCTTGCGTGCCACTTGGATAGGAATTGTGCCAGCGACGCGGTGAAAGAGAAAGTCTAACAGCATGATAATCAGATAGGTAGTTTGCCAACTTCCATTCAATAAAGATATCAGAAACTTTCTGCGTAATACCCCTTAATGCAAGTGCATCCGCAACACCGGTGAGCGATGTGCCACGATTCCGGACAATTTCAGTTAGTGTGCCTGTACCGCCGTGCTGTTCATGAAGGTAGAGCATGAATATGAAAGCAGCACCGTAGTGTGGAAGCGAGTCAGCATCCCTTTCAGGCCACTCTATGAGCGAAACAGAAGGTGTTTTTTCAAACGCATCTACATGCTCCAGCACGGAGTAACCGCAGAGAAATGATGCATATCCCGCACAGCCCTCATCAACCCAAGTCGCTTCGTGTGGATCGTGCCGCCAATGGATGAGATGTAGGAACTCGTGAGCAATGACATTATGAGCGACTTCACTATTTGGGTTAAGCGGTTGTGTATCAATATACAACATGTCCGCTTCGTTACTACGAATTGGAAACCTACGAAATCCTGGGGTCCTGAGTATACCACGACTTTGATCCGCAGGATTAAAAAAACCTGCCGTGTACTGACCCATGTGATTCGTATCTTGAATATTGAGTAGCAGCAAAACAATCCTACCGTTTTCATCAATATCCGGCGGTACTCCGAAGAACCCCGTCAATGTAGGATAAATTCCGCGCTGTGGATTCGCTGGTGTAGCGACATCAAAAGCACGCACCATTGATGCGACTGTTTCGGCAGTAACCCGTGTGTTCCACTCAGCCTCCTCAACAAAAATATAACAGAAACTACCAATACCCCGTAGAACCGCAGAGACCGTGTATTGTTGCATACTTCTAAAGTCAGGTGCAAAGAAGGTCCGTTCTGTACCAATGGGTAGTGCTGGTGCAGCTGGCAGCGCGGGTGCGGTCAGATCGCTGGGCAGATGGGGTGGCATCGTGTTTGCGCCGGGGTCCCTGTCCATTGCTGGGAAGGAACGAAAAGGCATTTTTGTCTCTGCCAATTGCGGTGTCCCACAGAGGTATGCTGAACTTTGACACGGTGCCCCTAAAAGCAATAGCATAAGGATGAAAAGCACCGTTATATTTTTCATCGTTTCTAAGACTATCTGCAAACTATCTGCCGGATTTGATGGTGTCAAGTTTCTGGTGGAGTTCGGCGTTATCTGGCTCAAGTCGTACGGCATGCTCCAAAGTCTGCAACGCCTTCTGTTCCAAGCCCTTTTTGAGGTAGGCATCAGCGAGATGTGAAAGAATCTCAGGGGTATCGGGTAGGTAACGGACTGCCTGCTCCAAACTTTTCTATAGCAGCATCCAACTTCCCTTGTTTAAAGTAGATAACCCCTAAACTATCCAGATAGGCACCCGATGTCGGTGCGCTCTTGAGCGCGCGGCGAACAAGTGCTGCTGCTTCATCTAATTTAATGCCCTGCTCTGCATAGAGATAACCTAATGCATTGTAGGCATCAGGTAATTCGTCCTGAGAGGGCAGTTCTATTGCCTTACGCAAGTAGTTTTCTGCACGCGTCACGTCGTCCAACATTTGATAAGCTATCCCAATACCTGTGAGCGCGGGGGCATAGTTGGCATCAACGGTCAAAATCTTCGCAAAGGTTTGTACGGCTTTCTGTGGAGCGTTGAATCTAAGATAAATCTGTGCAAGCGTGTAACGGGCATCTCTGATACGAACAGCCAATTGAATACGTTCCGTACTTCTCGCGCGGCTGGTACGAGCCCCACTTCGCATTGAAAGCGCACGTTCTTCTAATAAGGCAATTGCGCTTGTGATGTGATGTTCAGCTTTTTCAAAATTGCCTTGTGCCTGATAAGCAAGACTGACACCACTATGTGCCTCAATTTCTGTCCAACCAAGGTTACGAGATGAGCGGGGTACAGCACCACTTTCAAGCGATTCCAAAACGGTGAGAAAGGAGCGCATTGCTGCTGAATCGTCACCAGTCTGAAGGGAAAGTTGGCCGAGGCGGTTCCACACACTTATTTGTTCTGGACGGATGGTTATGACCCTCTCATAGGACTGCAAAGCTTCCTCAAGACGGTTTTGAATTTCATAGAGTTCTCCGAGCTCCCAATGGTATTCAGCTCTAAACGGCAGAATGCGAGTAAGTGCTTTGAAAGACGTAATTGCAAGTTCAATTTTGCCGAGATAGCGAGCGATGTTACCAAGATAGTAATGTGCGTCACTATGGTCAGGATCCAATTCAATAATGTGTTGCCCGACTGAAAGCATCTCCTCTTCTAATGCCTTGGTCTTCGGGTTTCCACGTCCGTTTTGATCTACAGAAGAAATGTACCGTTCTTTTAGTATTTTGGCAAGGATCCATTTCGCATCTACATTTCCGGGGTTAAGTTGAATGGCTTTTCTCGCATCTTCCTCAGCACCGTTAAGATCCATCAATCTTGGAAATCGAAGCGCAGCACGTTCTGTATAGATGAAACTGGCACCGTGTGCGGATAAGACTTTGTCTTCAACGGATTCACCGTCAAGCTCCAATTCCTCAATTAAGGAATCGTAGGCGACTTTGCTTTTACGAATGTTGCGTTCGCCGGTTCTGCAATAGGCAGCCCACATCAGTTTTGCATAGATATTTGCTGCGCGTACCATGTCGGCGTTCAACGCTGTGTCAGCATTGGTGAGCGGTACTAACTCAGGTGTCTCATCAGCGGGTACATCTGTTTGGGCGTGCAAACCGCGTCCTAAAACGAAACTTACCATGATAAAGACAAAAATCGCGAGCATGCCGAGATATTTCATTTTTTCCTCCGTATGTGATAACCCGCTATGAATCTTACGCATCCTCAAGCAAAGAAAATGAAAGTTCAATTTTAGCGGCATCAACAAGTTTTTCGTCGGCTTGAAGTGCCATGATGCGCACACCTTGGGTATTGCGTCCGATACGCCGAATGTCACCGACAGCTGTTCGGGTGACATACCCGCTTGAACTAATGAGAACGAGTTCATCAATATCTGCAACGCGTTTTGCAGCGACAACCGCACCGTTCCGAGTTGACTTTCCGATGGCGATGATACCTTTCCCACCGCGTTTTTGGGAGCGATAAGCAGTGACAGCCGTGCGCTTGCCATACCCGTTTTCCGTGACAATCAACAAGGTGTCATCTTCCTTAGCAGTACCTTGCCCAGTTTCTTCCGCTCAGTCCCCTCGCCGTTAACAATAACCATTTGTGTTACAAAGTCCTTAGCACCAAGTTCTATGCCACGCACCCCGCGCGTATTGCGTCCAAGGCATCTGACATCTTTCTCCTTGAACCGAATGGCAGTCCCTTTGTGAGTAACAAGGATGACATCGGAAGTGCCTTCTGTTACTTGCGCACCAATAAGTTTGTCGCCATCATCAAGATTAACAGCAATGATCCCGTTTGACAGTGTGTTCTCAAATCTGGCAAGTTCTGTCTTTTTGACAACGCCTTGCTGCGTCGCCATGAAGACAAACTTATTCGCCGTAACTTCGCCAGCATCAGCTCCCTCAGTTCTCTGACTGCCTACTTTTAGATATGCCGTAACATAAGCAGTAATGTTTTCGTTTTGCGCTAATCGGAGTAGATTAACAACCGCACGTCCGGTTGATTGGCGACGCGCTTCAGGGATTTGATGGACTTTTAACGTATAGCATTTGCCCAAATCTGTGAAAAACAAAATATTTTGATGCGCGGTAGCAACGAAGATATGTTCCAGAAAGTCGCCATCTTTTGTCGCAGCCCCTTTAATTCCGACTCCTCCGCGGTGCTGTTTACGATAAGTATCCATAGGTAGCCGTTTGATGTAACCGGCATGGGATAGTGTGACGACCATCTCTTCATCAGCAATAAAAATCTTCCACTTCAAATTCTTTGATTTCGCTCGTAATTTCGGTTCGCCGTGCATTGCCGTACGTTTCCTTGAGAGTTTCGAGTTCTGTCCGGATTATATCTGTTATCAACGTCTCACTGGCAAGGATCGCGCGAAACTCAGCGATACGATCTAATATTTCCGTGTATTCATCGTGGATACGCTGGCGCTCAAGCCCTGTCAATTGGCGGAGCGTCATCGTGAGAATTTCTCTTGCTTGCTGCTCGCTGAGTTGGTACGTAACCTGTAGTTGTTGTTCCGCTGCCTGCGGGGACTCAGCAGTTTGGACGAGTTCTATAATCGCCTCAAGGTTTTGCAGTGCCAAGAGATACCCTTCAAGGATGTGGTTTCTACGCTCAGCGCGGGCGAGTTCAAATTGTGTACGCCGACGAACCACATCCCGTCGATGCCCAAGGTAGTGATGTAAAATATCTTCGAGCCTTAGAACCTTCGGAAGACCATCTACCAGGCAGAGAAGACTCGCACTGAAGTGCGTCTGCATATCTGTGTGCTTATACAACTGATTTAGGATAACCTGAGCAATTTCACCACGTTTGAGCTCAATGACAATGCGCATATCTTTGTCTGACTCGTCCCGTATATCCCTAATTCCAGTGATAGTTTTGTCGACAACCAATTGATACATCCGCTCAAGCAACCGATTTTTCTTTACCTGATAAGGAATTTCGGTTATGATGATCTGTTCCTGTTCAGTTTCCGGTTGACCCGCTGTAGTAATTCTCTCTATGATCGCTTTGGCACGGACAATCATACTTCCCTTACCAGTGGTGTACATATCCTTGATGCCCCGAGTACCTACGATCATTCCCGCAGTTGGGAAATCGGGGCCGAGGATGTGTTCCATAAGCGTTTCTGAAGTAGCATCCGGATCAGAGAGTTTGCCTAGCAGCGCATCAATGACTTCACTCAGATTATGTGGGGGTATGCGGGTGAGGTAACCAACACCGATACCTGTCGTACCGTTGACAAGCAAATTCGGAAGGAGACCCGGAAGGACTTTCGGTTCTTCAAGAGATTCCTTGTAGTTGGGTTGAAAATCGACTACCTGCTTATCAATGTCCGTGAGCATCTCCGCGGCAATCCTGGTAAGCCGACATTCCGTGTAGCGCATCGCCCCAGCCGGATCGTCATCAATACTACCGAAGTTTCCTTGCCCGTCTATCAACGGATAGCGCATATTGAACGGTTGCGCCATACCAACAAGGGTGCCGTAAATAGGTCCATCGCCATGCGGATGAAAGTTCTTCATTACCTCCCCAACGACAGCTGCGCACTTGTCATAGGGTCGGTTCGCGGTCAGATTTATCTCACCCATAGCGTAGATAATCCGACGCGTGCTCGGCTTGAGACCGTCACGGACATCAGGTATCGCGCGATTGGTATTGACACTCATCGCGTAGGTAAGATACGACGTTTTCAGTTCATTTTCTATGTTGCGTTCTTGGATATTTTCCATATATTTTTCGGATGTCAGCCATCGGCTGTTGGCTTTTATACCAAATTAACCCAATTTGTAGCGCGAGGTCCCTGTGCCTCGCAATGCTGACTTGATCAAAAGACTTCTTCTAATCAAGTTAATTTGGTATTAGTGAAGAGATTTCTGATTAAGTCAAACATCTCTGTTCTGAGAGCTGATCGCTGACGATTTCTTTCAATTACGAACTATATAGCGTTGATAACTTGCAAACAACGCCATATAATGTTCTCCTTTAGGCACCGTACAAATCAAGATTTACTTGGGCACCATAACGCTCTATGAATTCGCGTCGAGGTTCAACTGTATCGTTACTCATGAGCAATGTAAAGATGCGATCGGCTTCAACAGCGTCTTCAAGTGTCACTCTAAGCAAAATACGTTCATCTGGACGCATAGTTGTGTCACGCAACTGATCTGCGTTCATTTCGGCTAAGCCTTTGTAGCGGGTGATAGCGAGTCCTCGATGTTCCATTCCAAGAAGATACTGTACAAGCGAAATGACATTTCCCGTATGATGCATGTCACCATTTTCGGACTGGATACTAAACAACCTTTGATTTTCTGAGTTGCTTGGGTCGTCTGTCTTTTCTGGAAACCATGAAGTCAATGTCTTGGATGTGAAACTCGGCGAGTTTCTCAAGTTCCTGCCGCAGTTCGTGCCGCCAAGTCCGTGGTGTCGGATCGACCACAATTTCAGGATCCACTGCCGGCGGCGCGTTTTCAAAAAGCATAGTCTGCGTATTAGTGCTGGATGATACTTGTTCGGGGGTCTCTTGCGATTCGATTGTAGTGGCACTCCTACGAGAAGGAGATATATCAAGCATAGCAAGTAGTTTGTCTACATTATCGGATGCCTCGGCTTCATTTGCCCCGTTCTCCGCAACTTGTGCAGGTTGCTCAACGTTGGAGAATTGCGAAGGTGCTATGCCACTCCGCTTGATTTGATCAAGGAGCGTCTGAATCTTGCGTACAGCATCAGAGATTGTCCGATACTCAGATGCTGTGTAGGGGACACCTCGCCGAGCATTTGTTATCTGCACAGTATCAAGTGCAAGGGTAAGAAGGTAGTCTTCCATCTGCTCATCGTCTTGCAAATATTGTGAATTTCTGCCCTTTTTGACTTGGTAAAGTGGCGGTTGGGCTATGTAGAGGTGGCCGGAAGCGATGAGGTTTGGCATCTGGCGGAAGAAAAAAGTTAAAAGCAGTGTCCGTATGTGTGCACCATCAACATCAGCATCTGCCATGATAATGATTTTTGCATATCGGAGTTTTTCAATGTTGAATTCCTCAGCACCGATACCTGTTCCCAATGCGGTTACAATGTCAATGACTTGTGCGTTTTTAAGTATTTTGTCAAGTCTTGACTTGTCTACGTTGATACCTTTACCTTTCAGAGGCAGAACGGCTTGATTCCGACGATCGCGCCCCTGCTTAGCTGTACCACCAGCGGAATCTCCCTCTACGAGGAAAAGTTCAGTTCGGGTTGGGTCGCGTTCAGAACAGTCGGCGAGTTTTCCGGGCATGGAAGCAGAATCAAGGACGCTTTTACGGCGGATCACCTCGCGTGCACTGCGGGCGGCTTCACGCGCTAGCGCGGCATCAATCGACTTTTGGATAATACGTTTGGAGACACTCGGATTTTCTTCCAGAAGTGTTTTGAGCCGGGAACCAACAAAAGTTTGGACAATCCCCTCAACCTCTGTATTTCCGAGTTTCGACTTCGTTTGCCCTTCAAATTGTGGTTCAGGAACTTTGACACTGATAATCGCTGTCATTCCTTCGCGGATATCTTCACCTGTAAGGTCTAATTTGACGTTTTTCAAGAGATCATTGGCACTGGCGTAAGTTTTGAAAGCACGGGTAAGTGCGCTTTTGAAACCACTTTCGTGAAAACCACCTTCAGTGGTGCGAATGTTGTTGGCATAAGAACTTATGTTTTCCGAGTAAGTAGTGTTGAATTGGAAGGCAATCTCTACTACAATATCTGATTGGACACCTTCTATGTAGATAGGTTTCGGGTGAAGAACCTCTTTATTTTGATTGTAGTAAGTAACAAAGGAGGCGATACCCCCGTCGTACTGAAAGGTGATCGGTTCAGAGTTTTTTTCATCGCGCGCGTCGCTAAGTCGAATGCATATACCTTTGTTCAGGAAAGCGAGTTCTCTGAGCCGGTCGCGAAGAATATCGTATGAAAAATCAAGCGTATCAAATATTTCTGCATCAGGCATAAACGTGGTACGAGTGCCTGTTTTATTGCTGGTACCAATTTTTTCTACAGATGTCTGTGGGATACCACGCGCGTAGCGTTGTTCATAGATTTCACCGTTTTGCAGGACTTGCACCTGAAGCCACTCAGAAAGTGCGTTGACACAAGAAGCACCGACACCGTGTAAACCACCAGCGGTTTGGTACCCGACTTGTTCGCGACCGTCGAATTTACCCCCAGCGTGCAACGTCGTCATCACTACCTCAAGTGCTGAGACACCCGCTGTCGCATGCATGTCAACTGGAATACCACGACCATCATCGGAGACGGTAACACTACCATCAGGGTGGAGTTGTACGTTGATTTGTGTACCGTAGCCTGCACCGATCTCATCTATGCAGTTGTCAACCAGCTCTGTGACAAGATGATGTAATCCAGTGGGACCGGTACTGCCGATGTACATGCTCGGGCGTTTTCTAACAGCTTCAAGACCTTCAAGAATTTGTATGTCACTCGCCGTGTATGTTCGTTCATCTTTTGGCATTTCTAATTGTGATACCTCACTTTGTATTGATCCCTGCGTGTAACACCGGGGTTATTTTTTTTAATTGCTGGTGCAAAGGCGCAATCCGCACTGTTGTTATCGTGCTTAGCTGCTTAAAATAGAATACCTTATTTTAAAAAATTTGTCAAGGCTTTTCTTTGCTCTGTGTAATGAATAACTGCCGCAGAGAAATTTTTAAATCAGTATCCGTTACATCAGTTATTGCCTGCTCAATCTGTTCCGATTCTTTGGGGGTGAGTGTATGAGTACTATTTGCGAGGGGTATTGACGCTGTGGTCTTTGAGATTTCTGGGTCAGCAGGGGCACGTTTCGTGTGACGCGGTGTTGCTTTGCGCGCTTGGCGTAACTCTATCCGGATATCTGTAAGAACAGGTTGTCCTAATTCCGCATTCAGATCTGCTATAATCCTCTGTTTATGGAACGATAGTTCTGTTCTGTACGGCGGATATTCCGTGTAGATTTTCAAAACGCCGTCCGACAACGATACTGGGACTGTTTTGGTGCCAAGTGGTGTTCCGAGACGTTCACGCCAGAGGACAAAGACTTTCTGCTCAAGCATCTTGGGCTCGAAGTCGCGGGAGCGGGCGAGTTCAGTGAGGAGATCGCGTAGGTTTTGTGTCTTGCGCATTTTTAAACTCGTTAGTGTGACTTTCGTGGCACACGAATAGTGGTGTGTTAAGAGTACTCGGTGGTTTCAGTGGCATAACTTATCTGGGCATTTTCTATCGTCAAGACGTTCGGTTGATCAAGATGATGTACAAGAGGTTCAGCATGCGTAGTTGTGATGAAGGTTTGTGCGCTTAAATTTTGGAGGACCTCTAATAGATACCCTATCCGCTTGTGATCCAACTCTGACGTAACATCATCCAATAGAACTATTGGATCTCTGCCTGTTAGGTGTCGAATTAACTCTAATTCTGCTAACTTGAGTGCTAATGCAATAGTCCGCTGTTGCCCTTGTGATCCGTGAGATCGCGCTCCCTCTCGAAACGTTCCGGTTTCGGAGTCTGGCACTTGTGGATCACTTTCACTATGGTAGTAAGTGGTACGCGCCTTAGGCTCATTCTCCAATTCAATGAGGAAATCGTCTCGGTGCGGGCCGACTAAGGTTGTACCTCTCTGTAAATCTGCCTCGCGGGAAGCATTTAATGATATGCCGAAATGTTTGGCTACCTTGTCCTCATCTTCACGCGCAGTCTTGTGGAATGCGCCTGAAGACTCCGCCAGCGAGTTTAGGATACCGCACGCGATACTGTTCATTGACGTATCGTTCGACACCGATGCCGAACGATACGTCAATGCGAGATTTTCTATACCACCAGTAAGTTTTTGGTGGTTTTCGATCGCGTGGTCTTTCAATTGATGAAAGATTTCCAACCGTTTTATGATAACTGCGGCACCATGCGCGAGCAACAATTTATCCCAAGCATCCAATTGCGTTACGTTTGCGAACGTTGCACGAATCTGCTTTAGCAACTCATTTCGTTGCTTGAGAACCAGATTGTACTTTTGCAAATTTTTTAAGTATTCGCTGTCAATCTGTGAGATTAGGAGATCTAAGAACCGTCGCCTTTCTGAAGGTCCCCCTTTCACTAAGGTCAGGGACTCCGGTGAAAAAAATACAGCGTTAAATTGGCCAATCCATTCGGAACGTTTTGTCTGGAGAATACCGTTTTTCTTCAGTCTAAACTGTCCGCGTGCTTGCTTCATTGCCTCAAGAGACGTTACATCATCACTGCCGTTCCTCAATGTCCCTTTTAGGTAGAATCCTGACTCATGATGCCGAATCAATTCGGCATCATGAGTCGCACGATGAGATTCCGCGGTGCAAAGAAAATAGATTGCTTCAAGCAAACTCGTTTTTCCTTGGGCGTTCCCACCGACGATTAAGTTAACGGGTTTAGGGAAATCTACTTCGCAATCAATATAATTACGAAAGTTTCGCAGGACAATATGATTTAATAACATTTTGTTTTGGGTGTGAATATTTTAATTCAATCACGTACAAAATTTAGCAACTTTTAGCACTTATCCACAGTCTCTTATATTAATACTAATTTCTATATAAATTTATATAGTACATTAGTAGTAGTAGTAGGGGCTGTGGATAAGTGGATAACTCACCTAAACACTTATTATCATTGACAAGTACCCTGTTGATAACTTGTGGATAAGTCAACAAGTTATCAACAGGTTATCAACAAACATGCATAACAGGTAAGTTATCAACAAGTTATGCACAAGTTATCAACACTATTTCAACATAGTTATCAACAAGTTATCAACAGGTTTAGAATGCGACATATCGTTTAAAATGCCTTAAAAAACGGAGGATAAAATGCTGAATTTGGCTATCGAAATTGATCGATCAGGAACATGATTGTTTGCCGTTCTTCATCACTTTTTTCCATTGTATTTTCTACCTGTTTACAAGCGTGAATGACAGTTGTATGATTTTCCCTATTAAACGCTTGTGCAATGTTTGAAAATGACATTTGTGTCAATTCTCTGCACATGTACATTGCAATTTGACGCGGTTGGACTAACTCCTTTGTTCGTTTCTGAGACACAAGGTCTATCACCTCTATGCCAAAGTAGTCAGCGACGACCGTTTGTACCCCTTTTGATGTGGCAGTCTTACGGTCTCGCATTAGTGACGGGGTGCCCACATCGCTCAGTACCTGTCGGGCAAAATCCAAACTCAAATTTTCCTTGAGTATTGTGGCTTGCGTAACCAACCGCACAAGAGTGCCTTCCAGTTCTCGGATATTTGTTCAACGACTTCAGCGATGTAACTAAGTACATCATCAGGGAGGTTGTCGAACCCTTGATCTTGACACTTTTGTCGGAGGATAGCGATACGCATCTCGTACTGTGGCATACCAATCTCGGCTACCATGCCGGATTGGAATCGGGATCGGAGGCGTACTTCAAGGTTTTCAAGGTTGTTCGGTGTCCGATCGCTGGTCATGACTATTTGGTTTGAGTTCATGTGGAGTTCATTAAAGGTGTTAAAGAATTCCTCCTGTGTACCCTCCTTACGTTGCAAAAACTGTATGTCATCAATCAAAAGCATGTCCGGTGTTCGGTATTTTGTACGAAATCCTTGTGCTGATCCGCGGTTGACGATAGACTCGACGTATTCATTCATGAAAGTTTCTGATGTAACGTACAGAACTTTCTTGGCACGTTGGTTTGCTGAGAGTCTATTGCCAATTGCGTGCAAGAGGTGAGTTTTACCTAATCCCACGCCGCCATAAATAAAGAGTGGATTATAGTCGCGCCCAGGATTTTCTGAAACGGCTAAAGCCGTTGCATGACAGATCCGGTTTGGGGTATCAACGACAAACGTATCAAACCGATATCTCGGGTTCAACCCCGTCTGATTTTTGAGTGGGGAGGTGGAGGGACTGCTAACCGATGCTTCATTTTGATCAAGTAGTTGATCAGAAGTATCTTCTGTTTCTATTCCATTAGAATCCTTGCTGCCGCGAGCCACAGATTCGTCTATAGTGAGAGTGAGTACACATTGTGCACCGATCAGTGTTGCTAATACTCGCTGGATGTCAGTTCGAAAACGCTCTTCAATTCGCGCGCGTGTATACGCGGAAGGTACAGCTATCTTCAAAGCGTCTGCTGTGACAGAAAGCGGAACTGCTTGATGAAGATAAACATCCTGCTGCGCTGTGTCGTTGAGGTTCTCTAATATTTCCGACCAGATTTCATTGGGGGTGTGCCGCATGAGCGTGTGTCCTAGCCTAAATGGCACATGAATTTTCAGCCTTAAATATCAATTTTAAAGCTTAGCCATTATAATTCCTTAATACTTAATAAAGATGAAATAAAAATGAAACTATGCCGGTTAATTAACCGAGAGGTATAATGATAAATAAAATCGTATCATTTTCTTATAGAAATGTCAACATTTTTATCAAAGATATTTTAATATTCCCAAAATTGCATTATTCGTATTCCAAATCCATTGAAAAATATTTTGAACTAAAACCGAAATTTTATCAAGTTATTTTTGGGATGACCAGCAAAAGTTATGAGGACAAAAAATTTGACAAATCTCGAAAAATGGCGTATCATTTTAAGACCGAGCACAATACGACTCTGGCGAAAAGGTAACGCCTACATAGAACAAAGGAGACACTCATGAAGCGCACATACCAACCACATCGGCGGAAAAGAAAAATAAAATGGGTTTCCGGAAACGGATGTCTACGCGACATGGAAGACAAACTATTGCTCGCCGTCGCGCCAAAGGACGAAAAGGCCTGAGTGCCTAAGAAATTTTAATAAGTAAAGTAACCTATAGTGCATGCACTGGGGATTAGTTTCCTTACATAGTGTTAAACGGACAGTGAAGCAGGCAGATAACAACAATTTATAGGTTTTAGGAAGATGTTATTGTTTTGGACGATCCCCAACTATCTTCCACTCCTTTTGCCAAGCGGCCGGAGCACAAATGCCTCGAACTTTTAAATTGCCTCACTTCTATCATAGCCCTATCATCTCTGTAGTTAAACAAGCGCGCCGCAACACTGATGCTCGAAAGAGCGATCTTGCACCAACATTATTGGACTTCGGTGCCGTCCGATTTAAAATAGCGCGCCATTTTGGTTTCTGCTATGGTGTCGAAAACGCTATTGAAATCGCCTATCAGGCACTCGCAGAAAACCCAGACAAGCGTATTTTCTTGTTGTCTGAGATTATTCACAATCCACACGTCAACGAAAACCTAAGACAGCGCGGTGTCAAATTCCTAATGGATACCGCTGGCACACCACTCCTCCCTTTTGACATTCTGATGCCAGACGATGTCGTTATCGTACCTGCTTTCGGTACCACCCTTGAGGTGGAGCAAGCTCTCAAGGCGCGTGGTGTTACGCTTACTGCCTATAATACGACGTGTCCGTTCGTCGAAAAAGTTTGGCGACGGAGTGAGGAGATTGGTAAGCAGGATTACACCGTCGTTATCCACGGGAAGCGTTACCATGAAGAAACTCGGGCGACATTTTCCCATGCACAGGCGAGTGCTCCCGTTGTTGTTGTTCGTGATCTTGGAGAAGCGCGGGATTTGGCAAAGATTATCTCCGGTGAGGCAGACACAACATTTTTCTTTAAAAAGTTCGCAGATCGATTCTCTCCTGGTTTCGATCCTACTGTTCATTTGAAGCGCATTGGCATTGTCAACCAGACAACGATGCTCGCAACGGAAACGGAGGCAATTGCTAATTTATTACAGGATACTATCAGAGCAACATACGGCGAAGCCGATGTGTCTTCACACTTTGCCGATACGAGAGATACCCTCTGTTATGCGACTAAGGAAAATCAGGATGCAACACTTGCGCTCATTGCCGACGGCGGCGATATAGCGGTTGTTGTTGGTGGCTATAATTCTTCTAATACGAGCCATCTCGTGGAACTCTGTCAACAACACCTTCCCACCTATTTTATTCGAGATGCAGATGAGCTCCTGAGTCCAAAACGCATTCGCCATCTCGAATTAGAGACAAAACAGGTCCAGACGACAGAGGATTGGCTTTTTCAGACAACCGAGACAAAACAGAAAACACCTACCGATATCGTTCTGACTGCTGGCGCGTCTTGTCCTGATGTGCTTCTTGATGAGGTGTTGCAAAAAATTGTTAAGTGGTTTCCCGAGACTCGCTCAGTAGATGAAGTGTTGGAACCCTTCCTATAGCGTAGATAGGGCTTCTAAGAGGACAGATGTTTGCGATGGTGTGCCAACACTGATTCGAACGTGATTCCGTAGACCTGGTGTATCAAAATATCGGATGAGAATCCCTCGTTCAGCTAATGTTGCTTTCAGTTCCGCTGCATCTCTTCCGATCACTCGCGACAGAATGAAATTCGCCTCGCTTGGATACGGTTTCAAAAAATCAAACGCCTGCAACGCCGCATAAAGCCTTCCACGTTCTGCCACAATTTTTCCCACATTCTCTTGCAATTGAGACACATCCGACAACGAAGCCAAGGCAGCTGTTGCTCCAGCAACATTTACGTTGTACGGCTGCTTAATCTTTAAAAGATGTGAGAGTATCCAGTGCGGAAAAATACCGTATCCTACCCTCAATCCTGCCAATCCTGCCCACTTGCTGAACGTCCGAAGCACAATCAAGTTCTCGTGTTCCAAAACCCAATTCGCACGACTCCCTCCAGCGAATTCAACGTATGCTTCATCCAACACGACGATTAACGGCAGCTGAAGTAACTGCCGAAGACATGTATCGTCAAGCATACCGCCATCAGGATTGTTTGGACTTGTAATAAAGACGAGTTTGATATTTTTGTTGTTGGCGGCGAGATCAACCACCGATTCAGTGTCTAACGAAAAGTCCTCTTTTCGTTCAATGTCAATTATGCTTCCGCCATTGAGTTCTGTGTCGAAACGGTACATCCCGAACGTCGGAGGGCAGTTAATGACTGCATCGCCATGAGTTACAAACAACCTAATTACGAGATCAATCAATTCATCTGCGCCGTGACCAGCAACGATATGGGTTGCTTCAACACCTATGTATTGGCTCAGTGCTTGACGTAACGATGAACTGTCAGGGTCTGGATATATGTGATAATAGGTTTCATCCGCCAGTGCCTGATATACACGCGGTGAAGGGCCGTAAGGGTTCTCATTCGCATCAAGTTTAATGATGTCCTCAGCAGGGATGCCAAGGCGTTGACTCAGCACGTCAAACGGCATGATGGGCGTGTAAGGTGCCATGTCTGCGATGTCTGGACGGATAAGGTTTGTATATAGCGTTTTAGATGACATTTTTTGTAGGTTGTCAGTTTTCAGTCATTAGTTATCAGTTAAAAGAGGATTATGATAGTTCCACAAGTCTCTTTCTGACAACTGAAAGGTTTTTCGCAGAAAAACCGAACTGACAACTGACAACTGACAACTATTCACTGTTATTGACTCGGATTCGGTGAGGTTCGGACCTCAACTGCCTTCGGGGTCAATGCACCAAGAGGTGCTTCGCCCTTCAGCACCCGTACAAAGTCATCCACAGTCATATCCGCCACCCGTAGGTTGGAATCTTTCGTTCTACCCGCGATATGCGGTGTGTGGACAACGTTATCCCGGTTCCGCAATTCATCATCAACGTGTACCGGTTCAATATCGTAAACGTCAAATGCCCCGGCAAGTTCATCTTTCACGATCCGTTCCCGAAATGCTTCCATGTCAACAGCATGTGCGCGCGTAATCACGACAACCAAGCTTCCTTTCCGAAGATGATAGATCCGTTCTCGATTCAATAGATGTCGCGCTGAAGGGGTCGGCGGGACTGCCACGAACACAATATCAGAACTATCAGCGAGCGTGTCCATGTCAACACGCTGTACATCCCATTCTTGAAGGAGTTCCTCCGGTACGTACGGATCAAAACCTACTACCGTTGCCCCGAAAACTCGACACCATTTTGCGATTTTTCCGCCAATCTGACCGAGACCGATGACACCGACGTTTTTAGTGCCAAGGTCGCCATTAACAAAATCTGGATCATCACAGAATTGGTGTGCAACAGGAAGTTTATCGCTTCCCCATATCGGGTTTTCCCAATCCCATAGTTTTTCACCGTTTGCCATTTTCAAATGCCACTGTGCTGTCCGGCGCAGCGAAGACAAAGCGAGACCAAAGGCGCACTCAGCCACAGATTGCGACCAGGCTCGCGTCGATTCAATGACAGGGATACCGCGTGCCTGAAGTGCCGCGTATGGAATACCGTGACCGGAATTGTCTGTCATCGCTCCGAACACTTTAAGTTTCGGGGCTGCTGCGATGCAGGCTTCGGTCAGGTTTCCACCGAAGCGGGATATTCCGATAGTATCGCTTAAATCGACCTGTTCGTGGATAGGGTCTCGGTTGTTGGTGTTGAGAACAAGTGTTACGCCGAGTTCTTCTAATCGACTGACCATCTGTTCATGCACGAAGGGCCACGAAACTTCTAAGTTTGGATGACGTGTGAATACAAATTCGGGACTTGCCATAATAGTTTGCCTCGCAGTGAGAGTTGTCAGTTTGCCTCGCAGTGAGAGTTGTCGGTTACGTCTCCTGTGACGCGAGTGTCTTCCGATAAACTTCCAACCTCTTGTTCCTTTCTCAGTTGAAGTTGGCAACAAGTGCCAGCCTTCGTTACGTTATCGTCATCAGAAACCTCTTTAACCGAAAACTGAAAACCGATACCGATAACTATTTCCGACGAATAAGCAGATGCGGTCCAGTCGGGTATCTACCCATGCGTGCACCGTAGAGTGCGAACCCGCCTTTCGCCTCAGCATCCGCTTTCACTTCATAACGGACTCTTAATGTGCCTGTTTTACCATTTAGGAAAGTGATGGGTCTACCTTGACATTGTGAAGATAGCCGTAGATGCCGGGTTCGCCGTGGATATAAGAGAGCACACCGCGTGCATCCGCAGGACAATCTGGAATACGGATGGTATCAATTTCAACGCCGTTAGCTGAGATCGTCACATCAGACGGATATTTCTCTGGCTCCGTTTGACGTGCACCACCGTCCGAACTCGATGCTTCAAAAATGAGTTCCATATCTACGACATCTGATACGTCAATCCCTTCTGGCAACGGAATCTCATATTCAACATAGCCATTCCCGATAGCGGAAAAGAGTTCTGCATCGGTTGTCGGTTCGTCCCAGGAAGATTCAGATACGTTCCCAGGAGCATAGTTGAGACTGACGAATCCTGAACCGTTCGATTCAACTGACGCGGTGGACTCTACGAAGTGCTCGAAATTGATAAAGTTACGAGCAACGACGGTTCCTGAGTGATCTGTTACCCAGACATGAAGCGTGCCGACCGCAGGGTGAACATCAGGAATACGCAGTTCGAGTTGATGCACGTGTTGCACCTGATACTGCGGAAATGGTATCTCAACGTTTCCTGAGACGTTCCCACGGGTGACATGCCCGGTTGCTGACATCGTATCCAGTTGCCAGTGGAGGGTTGTGCCAGTGATGGCTTTGTGTGAGAAGTGGCTCGCGTAAATATCCGCTTTTATCTGATCCCCCGGTGCAACTGTTGTCCCAGGCGGATAGTCGATACCGATAAAGTCAAGCGTGTTGATGTCCAGATAATCGTATCCGAACGCCTTGACCGACCTATCGTAGTTCATGAAACCGTTATGTTCCCACTCAATGTCCTGCAACTCAGTGTAGATGTAGCCGCAGATTTTTGGATGGAGTCGGAGTTCATTCGTCAGGTATTTAAAACACCATGAGACATCCTTATCCCCTGCTCCTGCCGAAATACCACCGTATTCGCTATTAATCAGTGGCACATCGCTTTGGACGTTGCCACCGGCGTAATTGAACGCTGAACCCGGATATGTCTCTGCCACAACGTTCGCGATATGTTCCTTCGCACGGTCATAGTCATTAATATAAAAATGCCATGAGTTGATGTCCGTTTCCACATGGTCGTACAAACACGGTGAGTTATCTTCAATCAGGCGAGTCGTATCTAATGATTGAGCGAGGTGATACATCTCTCGCACCCATTCCTGTCGATCTGTCATCTCCTTGTACTCGTTACCGACCGAGTCCCCAAGTTTCATTGAAATTGCACCAAGAGATAATAGACGGGTGATTGTAATCACGATCAATGTTTCCACGGAGCGTCTCCTCAAATCGAGCTTGAGCTTTCTCCGTGTAGGTGCCGAAGTTCGGAATATCGCACATGAAGAGCAACCCTAACTTGTCAGCCCAATAGTAGAGACGCGGTTCATCGACTTTGATGTGGAGACGTAGAAAGTTGAAGCCAAATTCCTTTGCGCGTTCGACATCCGTGCGGATTGCCTCGTCTGTTAGGAACGTGTACACACCTTCTGGGTTAAACGACTGATTGAGCGCACCGAGGAGATAGATAGGACGGTTGTTAAGATAGATATACTGATAATCTCCACCCGGGGCTTTTGCAATGGAGACCTTCCGCATACCAAAGTAGGTGAAAATCTTGTCAATAATCCCTATCTTCTGCTACCAATTCAAGCGTAACATCATAGAGATGCGGGGTGTCTACATCCCACAAAAGCAACTGTTCAGGAGGGATACTGACTGTCCATTCTGTCTCATTGCTGGAAATCTGAACAGAACCGTTGAGTTCACTGCAGCTCCAACTTAAAGTTAACCCTGTATTTTCTAAGGATCCATCTATTTTAACTGAGAACGTAGCGGAAGCGTTGTCAATATCGGGCGTGATATGGCACTGCGCGATGTATGTTGTGTTTCTCGGTTCGAGATAAACGGTTTGCCAAATACCGCTGGTACGGTACATACCAACCTATCTGTTTACCGGCAAGTTGTTCGCCGTGATCCTGGGCATCGTAAGCGCGAACAACAATCAGCGCAGGTTGTCCTGGCGTAAGTGTATCTGTGATGTCAAGTTCAAACGGTAGATACCCGTTTTCGTGCTTGCCTATTTGGTTTCCGTTTACCCAGACTGTTGCTTCCCAATCAACAGCACCAAAATTCAAAATAACGCGTCGGTCTCCCCAATTTTCCGGGATAGAGACTACTTTGCGGTACCAGCCGATTGTGTGTCGCGGTTCACCGCGATAATTGCCTTCACGGTCTAAACCGCCACAGGTAACCTCTTCGGGATTGAGATAAGCATCTTTGCTCAAGTAGTTCGCGTTGTCCGCCTGTCCTTCCTCCCC